GTTCAAAATCATCAAATCTCAGAATTTCAAACTTTGGATTTGATTTGGGTGTGCAAAAGTTGAAACCTTTTTAGACCATAGTCGAGTGAAACTTACAATTTCTAATCCGAGTGGATGATAAAATCTTCCTCTTCAACCCAATATCCCATCCCGAGTTCAAACCCTCCCTTCTAGTCTAGTTTAGAGTACTAATATCGCTTGTAGTGAGTAAATCATTCATACCAAACTTATCAGCATCCATAAAAAAAAAATGTGAATCACACAGGATTATAAAAGAAGTGCATTTATACAACTAGACAAACACTATCAGGCATTTTTCTGGAATGCAACAAAAACCACCTGTACTGATCTGAAAATCACATACAAAACCTAAACCAGAGAGATTAAAGTTAGATCTGCCTAGATAACATTTTCATTCTTCATCCTTCTAGATCGTTAACTTATGACGCCTTCATCTTCGATATGTCTTCAAGCAAAAACCTCGATTCAGCAGCAAAATCAACTGGAGCAACTGCCCTGGCAGTTATCCTCTTCCGCTTCTCGTTATTGTACTCATTCAGAGTAACACTGACCCTAAAAAGATGAGGAACCCAAGTTGCTTCTTTCAGTTTTTGTTGGAATTCATTCCCGTCTCCGTCCTGAAACAAAATGTAGAAGTTTCAAAGATTAGAAACCAGCTGCTGATATTTCATGGTTGAGTTAATCATTTGTAATAAGCACCCTGAATTGAATTGTAAAGATGTACCTGTGATTTCAATTTGTCCAGTTCATCTGCAGAGCACCCGAGGACCCTCTCAGCTTCGTCATTGAAAAGAGAAAGATACGTTTCCCCACTTACATCAGTAACTCTCACAACCAATATGTACCTGGAAAGAGAACAAAATGGATAAGAGAAGTTGGGAATCTGTATAAAAACGCCAATAGCATCCTTATCATGAAATATTGAACTGTATTTTACCGTAAACTGCATTCTTCATCGTTTTTCTGGCACCCTTCACACCAATAACCAGACCCAATAGCTTCAGTCACTTTCTTGTTACAAGTTTTGCAAGCACGGTACCACATTGTCTGATCAGGCCTGATCGAACTTATGAACGCTTTAACACTGAAAAACACAGGCTGCATAGGACAAAAACAAAAATATTCAGTACAACCAAAATTCATAAAAGTTTCAAGATTTTCAATTCTATTGAAATAAAGATTCTTATGTAATTAAGAGCCATGGATAAAGTGGTTATACCTTATCCTCACCCAAGGACGGGTCTTCAGATATATGAGACAGGGTGACTCTGTCAGAGTACATGGACCTTCCTCCATTCTTGGCTGAAGGGCTCATACCAGAGCCAATAGAGGCCAAAGAAGATTCTTTACCTTCAGAATCATACCTGACAATTAGGGCAATTTAATCATTTTTCGGGTACCAGAAAACATAATCATAGATAACTCATGTAGATAAAAAAAAGAGAAGGTAAAATCCTGATGAAAAATAACTTACCAAGACCTCAACTTCTGTGCTTCAGGTAACTCTGGATTAACCAATATTGTGCTCCTGCTCAATGTTGACAACGATACACCTGCAACAATATACAAGAGTACATTACTATCAGGAACTTTGAGTGTTCATGTTGGTTCAGAAATGCATAATCCTTTGAACTGTTATATAAACTTTTAGGCAACCTTGGAAGTCTCCAACTTTGAGGGACTTGATAGCAACTACGGGAGATTGATCAGCAATGTCAAGCAATTCCTGGCCTACACCAGTTGCGAGCTCACCCCATAAAGAAACCACAACTGTCTTCTTCCTGCAGTTCATATACAAATTGATTCAATACACAGTGTTAACATATGGCAATTGTAGTCAGTTGCTAAACAAGAAGTACCGTAAGCTTACGTTTCATCAGCAATGGTGATATCACGCTTTGGAATACTCTCATTGTTGCTCTTCCTTCTAATGCTCATTGTAGGAGACACATTTTGAACAACCCCAATAACATCTAAGATATAAAGCAGATACAAGTAATTGAGAAAGCAGAAGACACATATCAAAACAGATTCGAGGAGTGGTTGCTTACCCACAAGCTCCTTTCCATTAACAAAAGGACCCAACATATCAATGGGCACAAAATTGAATTTTACTTCAGGAACAAAAGCTGCTTCATTGCTAGCTTCTTCCACCTCAGAATTCTCATTCAAAGTCATTTCATAATCATTTTGCACCGTCTTAAACTGCTTGTTAGCAACCCTCAGAGATCCCTTTGAAATGTAATAAACCTTCCCTAACTCAAACTTCTCAAAGAACTTCTTTGCAGCTTCATTGAACATTGTTGCTTGAATTTGGGTGCCCTAAACCAACATAAACAAATTTACACAACATAAGAATCACTACACCACATACATTAAGCCATTGTTATCGGGAAACTAAGAATGCCAACAAAATCAAATGAGCTTGTGGCTTACATCTTGATCTGTTAACTCCACATTGAAGACGCAACCTTCACCTCTAGCATTCTTGTATGTACGCATGGTACCCTTGTTTGTAACTCGAACCTTTATGGTCCAATTTCCTTGGTAAGGGTTCAAGGAAACAAGCGGGTGAACCCTTCGTGTCATAGCCATTCTCGCAGATGGGGCCATACTGAAATCAATACATACAAAACCAAACTATCAACAAACACAATCATAAATTCAAATACAGAGTCACAACTGATTGGCAGCAAAACAAAAACACTTACTTCCCAGCCTGCTCATGCACAATTTGGGCAGCAGATTTTGAAACCATTTCTTGCTTGGGCTTCAATATAACCCCAACATCTTCCTTTTTGACCTTCCCAGCCTGCTCATGCACAATTTGGGCAGCAGATTCTGAAACCATTTCTTGCTTGGGATTCAATATGATCCCAACATCTTCCCTTTTGACCTCATTTTTCACCTCCGCCTCAAGCGCAGGCGAAACCACCTCACATTTTGTTACAAGCAGATAGCTGAAAACAACAAAACAAAAAAACCAAAACAAAACTTCAACATTCCATTCCCAACATTTCAAAAGAGGGGGAGAGAGAGTCTGAATCGCTTACTTTTCGGACAAGTTCGAATTGAAATTAACAGAGTAACCCAAAACGCGAATGAGACCCAGATTCTGAATCTCCCCAGAGGTGACCTGGGGAGCCAGCCGCGAGGAGAGCATCCCCTTTAGCTTCGCAGTTCCATCAGTAGCAGTAAACCTAGAGCACCACATTCCAAAACGCAAGAACCTCGATCAAACCCAAAAACTTCACAATCCAAACTCATCACAAATCAGTTCAGAAAACCCAGAACTTAAATCTCCAAAAATTGAAGAGAGCAACCGGATCCAGATCTAAAAAGGGATTTCTGAAAGCCCTAAACTAAAACCCAGAAACAAATGAAACCGAAAAAGCAAAAATACAAAGAGAAAGATAAAAAGCTCACATGAAAGACTTGCCCCTGGGGGTGAGATCGCAGACCTGAACCACGATCTCCGGCAGCTCAACGGACTCATCCGGCGACTTGTTCGCCAAGATGATCGAAATCGCATCTGGGGTTGGCCCTAACTTCGCCATTCTCTCTCTCTCTCTCTAGCTTTCTCTCTCTAAAAATGTATGGAGGCGGAGAGATGGTGATATGAGAGCGTCTGCGTGTTGGAGTCGGGGGTTTTTGTATTACTTTATTCCGGCGGGAGACTTTTTGAAATGTTTACGTGTTTTGGCGCCAATTTCGGGTTTCGACGGTTTTTGGTTTGGATTTTTGTCGCCTTGGCGCCCCCGCCGGTTCGATTTCGTTTCGTTCTTTTACCATTTTACCCTCCCGTTGTTTTGCGCCTAACGGGTTTGGGTTACTGAAATATTGTGGGCCTTTCCAAACAACTGGATCCAAAATATAATTAGAGCTTTATTGAATTTTTTTTAAGAGTAATGGGACGGATCGGAGGCATCTTTTTTTTTATATAATTTTTCACGAAAGTTTTTTTGGGGTTAATGTATTTTAAGGATCCGAATTATTTATCTTTTAGGTCTTCTTTTAAAAATTATGTTTACCAAAAATCATCTAAATCTGAAATCATATGATTGTTAGACTAAGGGTTCATGATTTATTTGTAAAAGCGTATTCGTCCATTTTCTTCACTACCGATTAATGTTTTTAATGGATTTGGATATGTCTAATGTTTTGCAAGGATGATCTATGAATAATGTTCTAAAAAATAGACGACTATAATCATTGAAATACATTACGGAGTGAACCGTAGAAAAACTTGTGCCAAAAGTTGTATTAAAAAAAGTTGTGTAACAGATCCGCTCCAAAATTGTAGGAAGGATAAAGCTCCATCTGCGGAGTTTTATTGGAATTGATTAACTTAAACCTCTGATTTAGTTACAGAAATCTATAGACCTCAAACTTTCATATTTGTTTCACTTTTGTCCATTTCGTTAGTTTTAAGAGATAAATAAGTGATTTTGCCTTGCATGATGAAAAAATTTACAACATTAAAGTTGTACCATGTATGTTATTGAAATTTTGTTTGACATGACTCATCTTTTTGTTTTTGGTCAATTACAACATGAATATTGTTAGGAATACTATTTGGCTCCGCATAGTTAACGAGCCTTTGCAGACATGCTGACACTAAACTCATGTACATTAACCACCATGGATGTCTCAATGGTAAAATTTCAGGCGCGTATTTCACACGACACATTTTGAGTTTGATTTTTCATGTTGTGTGAATCACACGATGGTGACTAAGAGAAAGGCTGAAATGCCCTTGAACCTTCTCAGCTCCCAAAAATGTAGACTGCTGTAACGAAGCCACTATAAGATGATATTTTGTCAAACAAAAAAACGTAGGTTTATTTACTATTTTTGCCAAACCAAATGTATGTAATCGTCCATGTGAATTTACAAGAAAACAACACAATAAATTGGAACATGATGAAGTATTGCATTAACATGGATTAAATATTTACTTTCCCTATTGGAAATACCTAAATAATCAGTTTAATTAATCTCTATTAATGCTAAAAAACATGTTAACCTCACATACAACTCCAAGGAGAGAAAATAATATGTGAATACGTATAACCATATATAATGTACAACAACAAGAGATAAACTCCTAATCTATATTTTGTTTTCTCTTTTTTTTTTTCAATTCTTTTTGTTGCAAGTGTTAATAACTTTTCCCTCTAAGCAATAGGGCGGATGTACATTGGAACCAAAGTGGTCTCAGGACCACTCTGAGACCACTTGGATGCCAGGAAATAATCATGTGAAAGTTTTTAGGACACTCCGAATGTATGGTATGAGTCCTTTTTGTGCTCACCAAGCGTTTGATGTAATACATGCTAAGCATATCTTGATAGCAATCAAGTTACATCGACAACACTCAACAGTTACTCTCGACAGCACTCGTCAATTGCTTTGACAAATGTCGATATATGTTGGTGTATGTGACACGGCTAGGCAACAAGCCCACCAAATATTCCATGAAATGCCTCCATGAGTGAACTGAAGTTTGTTTACGCTCGAGCTATGTTTCTATCTTAAAAACTTATGCCCTTACCATTCAGACCCCAATATTCAAATTCCGAATTCCCCACTCTCGCTAAGTACAGCATGATGGGCAACAAGAGAAGCAAGACAGCCCCCATCTGCACTTGGGTTCAATTGGGGTTGGTTTCGAGGCCTGAGAAGATGCTTCCGGTGTTTCTTCCCGTGTCTGCGGCTGCGATTGTCGCTGAGACGTTGGCTTTGACCCCGGTTGGTGCTTGTGTTTCGCTCCTTCTCCCCGTAGCGAAACATTTATGTCTCCGTCCCCTGCCAATCTTCATGGAACAGAAAAATGTTCAGATGTTTGCTCAACATGCAAACGAGCAAAAATACATAGTTGCAATGCAAGTAGGTATTTGTTCGTATGAGATTGTTCGAACGGCAGTATTTCAAGCTAATCCCGTCGTTGTTCGAAACACATTGTTAGTCCTTGTAGTTTGCACAAAGTTCCATTTCTACCAGTATTTCAGATTACTTCGAATTTGATCCCTATAGTTTGCAATTTGTTCCAACGCGAGGACACTCGTCAACTTTTGTTGATTCCTTGTACCAATCCGTCACATACGCGTTACACGGGAAGGTAAATTTGACGGACTTTGGACAAGAAATCAACATGACGAATGTCCTGAAGTCGGAACAGTTTGCAACTACAAGACCTGATTCGACGTAAAATGCAGTGGCAAGTGTAACTTTGTGAACACTACATAGACCAAAAACATGTTTTAACCTTAAATTTTGCTAACATTTACCAGCAACTTACATTGGGAATGCAAAAGATTTTGTACTTCCATCCGAAACATGAGAGAGGCAAGCTGAATGATACTTGCCGCCCTCGCCCGCGGTGGGTGCCTTCTCCTTCTCATGACTTTCTGCATTTTCCCTTATAACTTCTCTCATGGTTTCCACAGCTTTCGCTTCGGTTGCCCTCAGGCTCGGCTCCTCCTTCACATTGCCTTTGTTATTGGAAGCATTCTCTGCTGATTGCGCCGTTTGCTTAGCCGGAGGCTGGTTGCTTGTGAAGTCAATGCTGCATGGACCACTAGGCAAGTAACTTACCTCACCAGGTAAACCCAATTCACCGGATTTACACAACCAGTTAAACTCGTCCCTGGTAAAACTCATATTTCCCATCTGAATGCTGAACAATGACTCGTTGGAAGCGGGGCTCCATTCCATTGGGGATGTTGATTTGTTCCTAGCAAACACGTAATCCGGAATCCTATACGGTGAGGATGTAGGGTCGCCTGGCCTCTCCATCACCTGCGTTGGCGGAGATTGTGTTGCTGAACCGCTTGCATCAACTGCTGGTTGAGAATGCGACCCTTCTAGTCCATCACTAGGTTGCACGTCCTGTGCGGGCTCTGTGCCCGCATAGGCGGCAAAATCCTCGTCAGTGGCTGCATTTGCACCCAATTCAAAGGCTTCGGAACAATCAGATACCTGAGAGTAACTTAAATTTTCTCCTACGGTAGAAGTGTTAGCTTCGCCTAGAGCGGTAATTGGATCCGTCCTCAACTCATTCAACTGATTGGACGGGTCTAATCCGCCTGACCCGCTGCTTCCTTTGCCTGCAATATCAATTCCACAGTGAGTTGTAGCTGCAGGGCTTTTCTTCGTATCGCTGTCTCTTGTTCCATCTCCATGTTCCACACCTTGTAATGTTGTCTGATTGAATCCGGGATCCAAAGTTTCTACGACATTGTTGTCCTGATCAGGTTGTTGCAAGGTCGTTGTGGTTTTGGGGGCTGCTTCCGTGGTGGACTCTTCGTGGGGAGTGTCCAAAAATGTTGGTAACGAGGTGGAGGGGGAAGAGGAGGGAGGGCTTAACCTATTTCCCTCATCTGCCGATCCCATAACTAAAAATTGTCTTGGTTCTGCCTCCTGCAGTCCAAAACCATCAGATTTCTGGGAATCGAAAAACGAAACAGAAATATAAGGACAACAACGTGCGAGAAAAGTAGGCTCGTCCAGCAACCATTTCGTTTTTAGTTTTCATTTTTTTGTTAGAGACATTAAACCTCGAATCCATAGATTCGATATGAACCATAAATCACAATGTGTTCCACGATCGTTGCCCCTAAGATTTGAACACATCGTACCTGTGTTCTAAATTGAAAATTCGAGTTGCATGCTCAACATGATCAACGAAAAGATCTCAGCAATTGTCGTTCATGAAATTTGAATTCGAGATTAAAAAAAAGACACGTTAGAAAACTTTAACCTTACATGCAAAACCAAATGCCAATAAACGTGCCCTCAGAGAGACTGCCAACCTTCCAGCCTTCGAAAAATCGACGATGATTCCTTACCGGCCTGAAAATCAGCAGGCTCAGTTTCGCGTCGATGCCAACCTACGAGCAATGGGGGCCGGGGGGGGGGGGGGGGTGTAAGACCGAAAATTCAAGAAAACAACAAAATCGAAAACCCGAAAAATGAAACTGACGGGGATGAGCGAGAGAAACCAGAGGAGGAGGATTAGAAGGCCGTTGCTTAGACTTAGGGGTTTCTTTCTCTCTCTACTTTCTCTCTCTATTTTCCATCTAATGACAAACTTAATTTGCCAAGCGCGTCCTCATTTGACTAATTTCTTGCAATCCAAGGCTGTATTTGCCCTTTTTGTCCTGGCCGGAGTTAGAGCAAGTAGACACAACAATCTTCAAATATGTCTCCTTAACGACGTCGTTTAGAGAAATATTTTGGGCGTGATGGTCACCCTAAAGTTGATTTGGTTACGGCCTAGTCCATGTTGAATCCAGATCCTCGCCGGATTCTCTTTGTGAGGATTCCGGATATTCGTGAATCATATCCGTTTACGATGTACGATAAACGGATACGATTGACGATATCCTCATCAAAAGGATTCGGAGAGGATCCTGTTGGGTCCTTGCTAGTATTTCCGATTATATTTTTATGTTTTTAGTCCAAAAATTCAATAAACAATGCTTGTGTGGGAAGATAAATAACAAGACCGCTTCCCATAGCGTAAACTATTTTCCGGCAAGAAAAAGGTTTTGGCAAAATCCAACAATCGGGCGTTTTGCGAAAAGAATTCAAGAAAATTACTCACGGTTTTTAGTCGGTTTTTCAAATTGTACCAAAACAATCATAAAACCTAGTTTTCATGGAACCCTCGCCGCGCCACGAACTACTTTGCATCAATGTTGGACATTCCGATGATGTTCTGAAACTCCGTTCGGGCTATATTCTTGTCCCGGAAAGAGTAATGTGCTCGGTCATTTTAATACGAGGCCGAATTCGTTTTAATTATTTTGTTTATTATGTGCTAGGTACAATGAACATCGATTTCAATATGAAGGAGGAATCTAACCGAAACAAACAATCAAACATTTAACATTATTGGTACAAACACATGTAGGCCTTCCGGCATCCTCCGAGGCTCCGACCCATACGGCGTCCTCCCTCCTCCCAAACTTGCAGGTGTTGGACTCCAAGGGACCTTCAAAATCACAATCTTACCCTATTTGAAATGAACTTTAGGAAACAATGTAGATTCCGGACGTGCAACCAGTTCACAGAAAAGAACTATACCGGTTGCAACGAGAAATCATCGGTGTCACATAGTATGCTCCGATGCTTCATATACATTCTGCAGCTGCCTGTCAATCTTCTGCAATAAAACTTCCACTTCTAGAACATAATGAGGTTCAAGGAACATTGTACAACGAAAACTTCGAGTAAGAGCCGTGTCAATACATAAATCAGTACGCCGAGTATTATTGACACCGGAAGAGCTGGCAGAGCTTTCTGATACAAAGCTAACAGTATCAGAGTAACTCCAAGGCCACCTATGATGGCAAGATAACACGCATACACGGTCATAAAATCATACATTGCTGCCCTCCCGACTAAAACACTGTAGAAGATGAAGTCTCCCAATCCCAGCTTGATTGAACCGGAGGACCCCAATCCGATGCCCTCAAGCAACAAGCTTTCACTCGCCACAACATCTTCCTGCCTGCGAGGTGGAACATTTGCTACACGCTCAAGTAATGGGGCAGATAGCTCTTGACCCCTATCTGGAATCCGCCCCTCTTCGGCTCTAACCAAACTCGAATCATTATTAACATTGCCAAACTCACCAAGATTCGAACTTGAATTCAAACCAGAAGCGTGATCGACATTGACATTAGAAGTTGACCCGGGATTCTCATTCCCATTACTCGAATTCTCATTTCTCCTATCTCTCCAAACCCTCCTCTCACCCACATTACCCTGAGAATCATGAGCAGTCACGGGCCTGGCCTCGTAAACCAGAGCCGGAATCTCCTCATCCCTAGAGATTGCGAGCTCCACCAACAACCTCAACGGCCCGACGGGCAACAAAACCGCGGCAAGATCATACAATGCCATGGCAACCAACAGCACCCAAGTTGTCCACTCGGGCAACAACGTAAACCAATAAGCAACCAGCATTCCAATCACAACCAAATAGCCCTGCGTCACGAAAATCGCCATTTTCGACATGAACACCGCCAAAACCCCAACAACAGCAAAATTGAACAACACCAAAACAAACGTAATCGAATCGACTGGAACATTAAAGTCCTGAATCAAAAACAGGGCGACTTCTCCGCCCATGAATCCCAGAACAACAAAAGACGAAAAACCCATGTAGATTTTGAGGAACCTGGTGCATCGGAGGTAAAAAAGGAGCACCAAAACGAACGTGACGACCGTGACGACGGCGACAAAAACGAGGGCGTTTAAGAGGGCACCCACGAATTTGTCCCAGGAGGAGTCCGAAGCGGTCTCGTCGTAGGCAATGGTGGCGATTGAGTTCACCGTCTCCGACGAGGATGAAGCGTCATCGTTTAGGACTGTGACCAGAAGGACCACCAGCAGCATACAGACGGAGACCGGAGTGATGATTCTGATCAGTTCTTCGCCCAGGGATTTGAGAATTGTTGGGGGTCTTGGGTTTTGGGCCATTGGGTGTCCGATAATCGGATCAATTTCGGATCTTGGGGCGGAATTTGGGATTTTTGATTTGAGATTTGGTCGCGGCTCTTGAGAATTCGACTGAGAAATGCTTCTCAGGTGTTTTGGTGGAAGAGCTGCTTGGACTGGTCGATGGCGTTGGGAAACAATCTTAGCCGCTCATCTTTTTGACTTTTTACTGGTTTAACCAAACGATGACATTAGTTTTTTTTTACTATTTTCCTACAATTTACATAATTTATTTCACTTTGAATTAAATCTTCCAAGACGTAACAAGTGAACCATAATAATTTAATCAAACTTGTCATCACATGTGTCAAATTTAAAACTTCTCATTTACAATTGAAGCTAAATATGACTATATCATAATGCAAATTGACAGACTAATGTCAATAATTTTCAAATAGTTAACGTAAAAAGATGAGAATCAATTTGATCTAACCGATTATAAGTGACTCGACCAAAAATATTGTGCCACCTCATTGCACCCATGTTTCGAAGAATATGTGGGTAAGCGATCGCATCAAAACCATGGATTTGAGTTGAGGGGAGCGCTTATCGGTGCATACCTTGGTAATAGAAGCAAATATTTGAATGAGAATTTTGAATATGAAAGAAGGAGAAATAATCATGCAAAAGACAATTGTAATTATTTAGTTAATCATACAAGACAAATAAAATCGAGTTAAAATTCCTAAAACAAAAAAGTGACGATAATTTTAAAAAGTTAAAATCTAAAATAGTTTAAAATAGGATTGTATCATATGCTTAATTGCATTTAAACTCCGGTTAATTGAAACTCAATTCGTGTCGCACTTTAATGTTAATGTAAAAATCCGTCAAAATTATTTACGTGCCAAAAAAAAAATGAATGGGCTTTAGTTGTTTTGGGCTTCGTCCACATATATTTTGAGGCCCTTTAAAGATAGCTTGCCTGGCCGTCTCAGAAACCATAAAACAACCCAAATACAAACGTCCACGGAGGCAGTACCGCTCGGTAGAGGAAAGCCATTGAATTTGATCAGGGTTAAAATTATTATAACTTTTAAAGTGAACTTCTGTTTGACTGTTGTATTAAATTTTAATAGCCCGGATTTCCGAACTTGATGAATTAGAAGGAAAGGATCTGCCCTCAGTAGATATCCACAAACCCTCAACGTCACGACTCAAATCCAACGGCTGTAAATTCGTCCCCAAAATCGACGGATCAGATCTCCCAGAGCTCTCCATATAATCCGACTCCTCCCTTTTCCTCATAAACCCTATTCGAAATCAGAAACCTTAGGGTTTTGTAGTCTGTCCCCTGAGAGCAGAGTGACAGAGTGAGAACCGGCCAAGGTAAATCTCCGTCGAACCCTCGCACCGATCTGACGTCTGTTGTTGTTATGCTTCCGGTGCATTCGATATTCCGTGTGATTTGGTTTTTGTTTCCATTTCTCGTTGCTTTTCGATTCGGGTTTTTGTTTATTTTTTGGAAGGGATTTAGGGTTTATGATATTTGCATGTGGGGGTTTTGTATATGATTCGTATGGGGTTGTATCTCTCTGTGTGTGTGATTGTAGTTTCTAGTGTTTTGAAGGCGAAGTTTTGATTTGTGGGGTTTATGGATGCCGCGGAACGGAAGAACCTGTGTGTGTTTGCGGTGGGAAATTTTTGGGGTGTACTCTTTCGATTTATCGAATATTGGGTTGAAATAAAGTTTTCTGCTTGAGATTCTTCGAAATGGGTTTTTATAATCAACTTCATTTGAATCATTTCCCTGCACTTTCTTAAGAACCAAGAAGAATTTTTTATTTTTTTTTGTGATTTTGTAACCCTTTTGAAGTGCGGAACTGCTTGATTGCGTCACGTTCTTATTGGGTTGTTTTGTTTCAGTAGTAGGTGAAGAAATTATTTTCGATGATCGTTGTGTAGGTCTCTAATTAATCTTATGTATTAGTTAAGTAATACTTAAACACAATTTAGATTAAGGTTTCTTATGCATAGTACATAATCACGACTTTGTGTTATCATGATTGTAACATGTTTAGTGTTCTGCCACTTTGCGGTACTTGTGCTAAAGAACAGGATGATTGTTGATGATAGATATTTGTTTATTGAAGCTTGTGTGCTTGTGCTTTCTTTTAGGTGATTACGATGGCTTTCTTAAGTAAAATTGGGAGCATACTTAGGCAGACTGCAAACAAGCAGATCAGGTCTGAAGTAACTCCTCTCAAACTGTCCATCCATCAAGCTATAAGATGCATGTCATCCATGGCAAGCTCAAAGCTGTTCATCGGAGGTGATTTCAGGACTTCAATATTTCCAAATATGATATTCCTCCTCTCATGTTGCTTGTTTTTGTGTTAAGATACCTCCCATTTTGTAATGCAGGTATTTCGTACCAGACAGATGACCAGAGTCTGAGAGAGGCTTTTCAAAAATATGGTGAAGTTGTTGAGGGTATGTAATTAACTTGCTTGTGTTACTTTTGGGACTTCTAGACAAAATTAGACTTGTGCGACTTTATAAGCTAAGGCGATTATGAAAATGCATTATATTATACAGACTTGCAGTGGCCTTTCTTTTGACGGGATTGTCAAATGGGTCAGATGACTGTCAAATGCTTATGAGACTTGGTGAAGTGTGGATGTGGGCCTCACTTATTTTATGATCCCTTTGTTTTTCTTTCTTGTGAACCTCTGTTGTCGCGTCATGTTTCTCCATCTTTCCATTTGCATTGTCTGATGATAACTCACATTTTAGTTTCCCTACAAATTTGTTTGTAAAATATGAAGAAAAAAAATGATTGATGCTGATTGACCTGATAAATTTGCAGCAAGAATCATCATGGACCGCGAAAGTGGTAGATCAAGGGGATTTGGATTCATTACCTTCACTTCTAGCGAGGAGGCATCTAGTGCTATCCAGGCCTTGGATGGGCAGGTAGTTATTTGTTATTATATTCTTTCTTATTTTTGTTAAATGGTATTGGATAATAGTGGTCTATTGAATTCGTTTGTTTACTATATACATTGAGGAGTATTTTTGAGTACTGAATTAGTGTTTGGGATTTAAAATTTCAATACTAGCAGGTGAAACTAAACATTCAATTTTGCAGAATTAAAATAATACAGAACCTGTTTTGTCACATGAAATTGCTTTAGTATAGTCGTCTTATGTATTCTCACTGTTACTTCATATACCTTGGCAACTGTTAAATTTTGTCTGAAAATTCTGTAGGAGCTTCATGGCCGCCGAGTAAGGGTGAATTATGCTACTGACAGGCCTCGCCCCAGCTATAATAACTACGGTGATGGTCAAAGTAGTTATGGTGGTGGAAATAATTATGGTAACTACGGAACCGGCGGAGGTGACAGCTATGGAAGAGGAAACCCTGGATATGGTCAAGGAAGCTACAACAGTCCTGGTAATTATCCAAGTGCAAACGCTTATGATGCTCCCGGTGGAGGTTTTGGCAATAGCAACACTTTTGGTGCTGGTACTGCTGATAACTTCGGTGTTGGTGGCGACAACAGCTTTGGCACTGCTAGTGCTCCATTTGGAGAGAACAAAACTGGCTTTGGCCTGGATGATCCACTGGAAGGAAACGATAGGGACGATGATGATGCTGGTGACTTCGCCAAGAGGGCCTGATAATAATTATTAGATTTCAGGGGCTGTTTGCTTCTCCGGCAGTGCTACAAGTAGATTTTTTTTGTTTATGTTACAGCCTTCTCATGTTCCCTTCCCCGTCTCTCTGAACCATTTTATTACATTTTATGCCGTATTTGCCTGTCACAAAACTTCATGCACCTTTCTGTGTGCTTTGTTAATGAAGGACCTTGAATTGTGGAAATAACTGTTGACTCATTCTCTCCCTCTTGAAATGTATCCCTTCTTGTTGAAGGACCTTGTCAAATCTAAAGTGAAATTTGCAAGCTCTTGTTTATTTCTGTCCGGGGTGTCAACGGTTAGAAAAATAGCGTGGCGAATTCTTGCACTCAAGTTTAAAACTCCCTTTGCAGCTTTCTGCGTCTGGCGACTGCAACCACCTCTCCGTGTATTACAGTAGTTTAGAATAGAGCATTGGCTCGTCCGAAAACCCGTAATAAAGGAAGAAACTCCCCATGCACTTGTTTATGACTTCACTCTTAAAAGTGGGAAAAAGGAACAGAAACAAGGAAGGCGAGGCAGAAATGGGAAGCAGAAACGGGGAGGAGAGTACACAAAACTGAAAATATTGGAGAACAGTTTCTGATGATTAAATAACGAAAAGCCTCGATAAGCTTCGGAAATCGGTAAACACCATCGACGTTACAAACGAATGGCGTATTAGCTTTAGCTACAGAATGAATACCTAACCACTTTCTATATTTTCATATTTTCTATGAATCTATACACTGCAAAACTTCATTCCTGTTTTCGACTTAACTCTCGTTCTCATCAATTGACCGGAACCACCTTTGTGCATGCAGGACTACCGGAGAACCTTTCTTGGCCTTCTCCACAATCTGCCTTATCAACTGTTTCTCCATCTCAGCATCGGAATCATCACTGTTCTCCCCACTGACAGATGATTTACTGAAATCAAAATGATTCACAGAACCATCTAACTCGTCACTTTGAATTTGACCGGGGCTTTGACGCTTGACTGTTTCAAAAACTTGACAAGGTGAATCTTCACCTAAGGTTTCCTCTTTACTGAAAGCAAAATTCCCCACAGAGCCATTCACCTGTTCACTTTGAGTTTGACTGTGGTTCTGAGCACTGAATGTTTCAAAAATCGGACAAGGTGAATCCTCCTCATCTGATTCACCAATCTTCATCAACTCTTCGTAAGCCTCATTGTACGCATCTAAAGCTTCTCCCGATAAGTTCATGACTAGAGGCTCTGCCGTGGTTTTGCAAGTTTCTGCAGAATTTGTAATCTCATGGATTCCGGAATGTATGTGATTGTCTGAGAAGTCTCTCCAAGAATCCTTGTGCTTCAACTCTGCGAGTTTGACCTTCCTTTGGCTGTTTTGTAGAGACACCTCAAGTTCCTGGACACGTTCTTCTAGTCTTGATTGGATAACTTCATGCAGACGCAAGCTAAGCTCTCTGGGAGAAACTGCATAGTTTGCACAGTGATAATCCGTAGAGATGCTGCTTGCCTCTTCATTTGACATGGATTGGGCAACAGATAGCCCACCAACCAAGTCAGCTCTCAGCTCGCCTTGAGCAAAATCTGCCATTAAGTCTGGGTCAAGCTGCACAAATTATCATCTCCGTTAGCACTTAAAGAATCTGATGAGATCACTACATAAGCCAAAAAACGCATTTGAATTATAGAAAGCCAGTAATAAACGGGTCCTATGCAATTAGCATTCGTGTTCTAGAAAGACATGACACTAGAACTGAAACTTCGGTGCAGAAAATCATTTACATAATAGGAAAAGGGCCAAATATTTACTAAAGTGAGATACTTAAACCCAATCAACAAAGAATTCAAAGCTAAACTAAAATGTAAAGATGTGCTGCTTAAACATAAGAATACAAAGATAAACATAGCTGACCTCAGCAACATCAATCGATCTTCTCTCCGGAATAGAAGTGTTCATGTTTAACCCCAACCTCTCAAGTTCAGCTTCAAGCTCTGCCTCTATTTTACTCATCGACTCAGAACTCTCTTCTGCTTTCCAGTTATATGAATTTTTACCATCATATTTGTCCATATTCTGTTCAGTAGAAAAAGAATTTGGTGCCTTGTCAAAAACGGAGCTGTCACAAGTATCTTGTGCACCATAATTCTCATTAGCTATTTCCTTCACTGTTACTGAATCTTTCATTTGGAGTTCCTCCGCTAGATCCTGAACCAAGTTCTCGGTCTGCTTCAACAAATCTTTCAACTTGTCAACTTCTCTTTTATTTGCTATCAAAGAAGATATTATGCCAATAGAAATCCCAAGACAAAGAAGAACTGCTCCATCCAGTGAACCTGATGAAGGGAAAAGCATGAGGACATGAACTGAGATAAGTCAGAAATACTGTACACAAATAAGTAGCAAACATGGATATTGGGTGAACAGAATTTTCAGCTTTTACGATTGGAGTCATATATGCATATGGGACCTTGACTTAATAGAGCATTAGCATATAAACAAATGACTTTTCCCTTGATTAGCAATCTAACAACACCAGAGAATATGCATTTTCCCCTCTTTCAATAAATACCATATTTCCTAAGAAATTGAATATGCCAAGGAAAGAACATGACACAAAAAAAATTTAAGCAAGGAGACAGACTTAAAAAGCCTCCAAAGTCTAAAACGACGATAGGTTACCCTTATGAAGTGGAATCTAGTTGAGAAAAATCTGGAAAGTATTGAGAATTACCCCAAAATAAAATTACCCCTACAATATGAGAAGAGGACTACCTTCAGAATGCAAGTGTTTTCCATTGACCAATTTACTGGCACTGCTCAATTTTCCATGCCGCCCCTTTCCTGTCTTACTTTTCATCTTCTTGGGCAGATCCAAATAACCAAGTTTTGGTTGTGGAGGAACCCCACATGCATTTTCATTAGTTTCCAAATAGGCTTCCTTATGCAGCTTATTTTCCTCGATCCCAATCTGAGACCTGAAATGATCTCCACTTGCTTTGCTGATAATTCGGTTTCCATCAGTCACAAACAATGGTCTCATACTTGGACTAGATGGCGATGGAAGGGTAAGCACATGTTCCTCTTCAGCACGCTCTTTATATAACTGAGCCATAAGGCAACTCTCTAAGGAATTTACTGGCTTAATCACATGCCCATACGAACGCTTAGTTCTAACAGAACTTTTGTTTTTTAGAGGAACATGATGAGAACCCCCTTCCCCACTCGAAGATTTAGGCAATGTGGCACCAGTACTGTCATCAATATCATGACTTATCCAAGTCCCATCCCCATTCTCATTTTCATTTCTAGAGTATACCGGTGACATGTGTGATAAAGAAAGTACATTGCAATCCTTGTAATTAACCAAGTCTCCCAGCTTTTCACCATCATACCCACTAGTAGAAGCCACTTCTGTCCCACAAGAACTTTCTAACAAGTAAGCATCCGAAGCCTTTTTTCTATCAGTAGAAACATCATCACCCACTTTCTTTCTGCGTCCTAGTCTGTCTAAAGGATGCCTTGAGGATTCAGATTTGTCAAGATTTGCATCCCCAAAAGGCAAATTTAACAAGCCATCTTTATCCCCATTCTTCGATATGTTCTGCCAATACTTAGTCAAATATCCGGCGCCTGCAGCTGCTGCAACAACCCACAAGTCCATATCTTCCCTAAACCAGATTCCACCAAGAAAACTTTCCTCTCTTTCAATTCTCAGTACCAACAACCCAAAACCAAGAATTTGCCAACTTTGCGGGAGGGAAATGTTCCAATTTAAGTATCAAAAACCCTTTATAGTTTTGGCGCAATCGGTTATGAAAATGCATACTTGAACTAACAACCACAGATTTGTGGAAGTAAAATAGCTGCCCAATTCAACAGAACAGAATTCCCAGCATCCAAAATCCGGAAGATAACAAAGATACTACTGCTGAATAAGAACAAAACAGTGAATAGGCTTCAATACGCAAGTCCCAAAAACCTCAATTTCTGCAGCAATAAACCGATTGCAGAGCCAAATTCCTCAAAAATCACAAATATAATCAACCAAGAGCTACAAGAACAACAACATATCAGAAGCAAGAAACCACTTTCGATGAATGCCAAAAATCTAAACCCTACCCAATTACTAGCAACCTACACTGAGAGCTCATCAAAGAACAAACCTCAATATCTCCGAAAACGCAATAATATCCCAGAAATAGCAAGATATTGAAAATCTGAGCTATACCCAATTGAAAGCAAGTTCTCATAGCCGCAGAAAACCCATTTGACAGACCACCATTGGCAAGAAGGCGAAAACAGCTGGGAGCTCTTCCTCTTCTTGGCGATGGAGGAGAGAGAAAGAAGCTTGCTTTAACGAAGCAGTGAGTTCGTGAGGCCAATCTGAGAGAAACCCAGCTTTTGGAAGAGGGATTTTTCTGAATCTTTTGAAGAAGAAATTGGATTCTCCGGAGGAACAATAACCAAACCACCCGTTTGCTCTGTTATCTACGGAGCGATACACCCCACAAACCCAACTTCTTTGCACTTTGATAAACTAGGGAATTTTTTTTTTCTTTCCTTTTTTCTAAAAAGAAATTTAAATCGCTTGATTTGTGTCACTCATTGTTACGGTTTGATGGTATTCTTCTTTACTTAGAAGTAAACGTCGATCGGTTTATAATCTAATTTTCTTAAAATAATATAATATCATCTCTCGCAATTGTTTTTGAGCATCTCCAACAATATTGATTAAATTTTTGTTCCTGTCGTAACTAGCCAAACGCGCACAAACTATATAATTTTATAATTTTAATGTTGGCAAAATTTTAAATCCCTCTCCCCTCCTACTATAGCTAGTTAGCCTTCACAAGTTAAGATAGCTTGTCATTTAGTTAGTGTGTTAGGTCATCTTCAATCGACCATGCTAAAGGGGTGTAAGGCTAAAAATAGTCCATTTTGACAAGATAACTTTCTCCAACCGAGGGCTAGTGGTCCCCATCCGGCAAAAAATGGGAGAACCGACCAAAGGGCTGACCAAAAGCAGCCAGCTCGCCAGCCCTATAGCCCAGCCATCCAACGCCAGAATGTCAAGTTTGACATTTGCCAAGCCCCCAGCTCAGCACATTTAATTGCCAACGGCTACCTGGTGTCAACATGACACCAGCTAGCAATGGCTAGTTGACGTCACATTGCTGTTAGGTTACTGTTGGAATTTGATTTTTTTTTTTGGACGAATTTAAAAACAAAGTATTCTAATTTTTTTCCTATAAATTCCTAAGTTATTCCTACACCATTCTCACAAACTTTTCATTATTTCATACTATCTTATCTCATTTTATTTCAATTATTCACATTCTATTCTCTTAACTCTTCCAATAATTTTTCCTTTAATTTTTTCAATAATTTTCAAATTGCCACATCTACAATGAAAGGAAGGGCTTGGACCCGAAAAGAAGATGAAGCTCTTTGCATGGCTTAGAAATGAGTCTCGAAAGATAGTGTCAAGAGTAGTTCTCAAACAAGTGAAGATGTTTGGAAGTGTGTGAATTCTACCCCAATATCCAGCCAATTTATTAACATTCGAAGCTGAAGATAAGAAGTGTCACATAAGTAAGAATTCTATCTAAAATTTGCACAACTAATTACATCTCGACACATGACACTCGAAACCCTCTCCGAAAAATTATTAAGAGTACATAAAGATAAAAAATATGGAGAGTTGCTCACTTTAGCGACACGTGTCACTCAAAATCATATCTGAAAAATTATTGAGATTACATAAGGATAACAAATATGGAGAGTTACTCACGTTAGCGACACGTATCACTTGAAATTCTATCCAAAAAATTATTGAAATTATATAAAGATGAAAAAATCCAGAAGCTTATTAATTTGGCCTATGACTTTTTGGCCCCCTCGACTGGAGATGATTTTTTGTCAAATGGCTATATTTGGTCTATGATCTTTTGGTCTCCTCGGTTGGAGATGATATAAAATATGGCCTAATACTATTCATTAAAATATAATTTATTATAGGGCTTTAGAGTTAAAGAAAGCCTTTTGGCTCTCCTTCGGTTGGGATGGCCTTTGAGCTTTTAACTAAATTGATTATTTTAAAATATAATTGTTTGAGATGCTTTAACAAAATTGATATTTTAGAGATTTTTCCTTATGCTTTCTATTTTTATATTATAACAAATGGCACTACAAGTTGGAGAGTTGGTCGTTTTTCATATCGAGCCATTGAAGCAGCACGTGGGGCTACAATTGGACAATCCCATCAGACTATGAGCCGAAGAAATAGTATGATATGGTAAGAGTTTTCACAAATCTCCTTATTAGCCAGAAGCCTACAAAAGTAAGAAAGAAGAAAATAGGGTGTGTGATAATTGGTGATCTATCTTTCTTCTCTAGTTTTCTTATTATTGATTTTGGTTTGGAAGTGTTTTTAAATGATTAAAACTGTTTTTGGTGAAATATTTTTTAAATCACTCATTGGTAAAAATTCAAGTGAACCCTAAAAAGACATTTTAAGTACTTTTTGCATGAAGCACCTATCTGATGCTTATTTCAAAAAGCACTTATAGTGTTTTTGAAACCGAAAATCAATTTCACCAAAAATTATTTTAGTTATTTTAAATACACTTCAAAACGAGCATTTAATATTAGAAAGAATTTCGCTCCCTCCCTTAATAGCAAATTTCAGCAAAAGGCATGAACTTCTTCATCGTTTGAGGAAAAAAATAGGTAAAAATAAAGGGAACTTTAACGACAACCAAACCATGCGTTTTGATAGAATTATGAAAATAAATACCAACCATTTTTTTAGGTTGCCTAGTGTGTGGCTTAGCTGAACTCTCAATCCACTAGTGTAAAAATATCAATGTACTTAAAAAAAAAAAAAAACATGTCACACTTGGCTAAGGGTTGTAGGTTGTCAAACTTTTGTTTTGTCGAGGGAAATGCAAGTTTTTTAAAGTGTATTTTTGCTTATCACCATTTAGTTGCGGTAATGCTCATCACCATTTTTATCATCGTTGGATGAGTTTAAATTTGAAATTGGTGTATATCTATTATACATAATTTAAAATTTAAAACTCATTTAATGATAATAACTAAGATGACGAACATCATCATCAATTGAAGTTGGTGAGAAAAGTATTCCCCTTTTTTAGGACAACATAGAATTAGATTAGATTATGTGACATAAAAGGTAGACTCTTCCTTCGGAAGTGCTTATATAATCACTGAAGCGTTTTTAGTGAAAACGTTTTTTAAACTAATCCTTAGAAAAAACGGAAGTGAATTATGGAATAGCATTTGAAGTGCTTCCTAATTGGTGTTTCTTTGAGGAAGAACTTCAAGTGCTTTTTTAATCCAAGAACAATTTCTTTAAAAACGTTTTCAATCATTTTAAAAACACTTTTAAACGATCATTTACTTCATTAAGATTGGTTTGAGACCAAGCGATCCCACATGGATGAGCCCTTAGTACCAGCACATCACACTTGAAAATTGCTTCACTTTCCACCCTAAAACCAATAAAAATGATAGAAAGCAACTGTTTAATTAATAACGTTGCCAAAAAAGTGCACTTGAATATTCAGGATGTTGTCCTTTGATATTTGATATTTGAGTTTGAATGAAATTTTAAATAAGGAATTTTAACGAAAAGCTTCCGGTACTGTTTATTTTAACGAAAAACCATTTTTTTACATTAAAAAGTTAATTATGGTACTATTTACTTTACTATTTATTTTATCATTTTCGTTAAAACTCAAAGTTTTCAAGTTTTTTTCATTAGTTTTCATTTTTATTATGGGACCAATGCGAATAACTTATCTGCAATTAGCATGTCACGGTATTTCAAATTCAATCACGACTTGTTATATGAAAAAAGTGCATAATTTGTTTGAATTGCTTTTACCGTGACATCCCACATGTATGTACGGAGATAAGCTTCTCTGGAAATCAAACTTGAGGAAGATGATCAAGGGATGAAGATTGGAAATGGGAATCACACACAAAGGTCAATCCTGCCATGTTATTGGTGGTGTGGTATTCTCTCAACAAAAGGCCACCTTGCCGTAAAAAATTGATCCACACACGGACATTAGCCGCGGTCACCTCCGCACGCGGATATGATATACGGACATTAGCCGTGGTCACCCCCGCGCGCGGACAGTTTTTTGTTCGGGTTCAATTTAGTAGTCAGAACAGTAGCAGCACTTCTGTGGAAAGAAATTTAAACTCCCTACCCAACCTCAATCAGGCCAGTTAGCTTCCATATGTTCATTTGAACTTTGATCTTGCTTAGCAAGGAGTGTACATCTAATCTCCGTCCTAAGTCGAATTCGTGTTCTTCGGGTTAAACATAACTAAGTTTCTAACGCAACGGCACAGGTTAAGGTACAAGTCGGATCAATATCGAAAGGCACCTGTATTCTGATTCTCATTGATGAACGATGTACATTTTGGAATGGCTTTTGGCAAGGCAAAAGAAAATGCAGTGTCCAAAATGGAGAGACGCAACAAAATCATGAAGTGTACGATTGGCGATTGATGACCGAGGCCTTCACGGGGTAGTCTCCATCGCCCCAGAGTCCGACTCTTGATCAGAATCAGATAAGTCTTCAAAATCATAAAAGGGGGTTGCCTGCAATGGAAGCCACAAGTATGGAGATATGAAAGCTCGGATCAGTAAAATCCAATACGAAAAGAAAAACTTATCAGGGATTTGTAAAATCTCGGATCAGTAAAAACCAGTACCTGAGGTCTTGGAGTGACTGCTTCGAAGCTACGGATAACAGGATTATCAAAAGTAGGGGGTTCTAGAACGATGTAAGCTCCTTTATTTCTGTACCTATCTTCCGTTGCCTGCATATGCATCAAGAGATTAGTCAGTGTCAATTTACAGAATGCGAAAAAAATCCGTACATCAATAGCTATGCGTTTAGGCACACAGAAACACATTTCAAGCGCTGCATCCATATATTTTATATTGATTCCATGCTCTTGTTCTATTACACAAACGATTTCTGTACAGAAGTTTCATCGGTGGAATCATCCAGTTAAGGAACTTTCAACTAAGCGAGATAAAAGGTCGACATTTCTGCTTACAAGGCTAAAAGAATGTTCCAAACCTATAAAACTTACCAATGTTAACAATTAAGATAATTGAGTTTACGATCTTAGAAGGAAATGTGTAAAACCCCATCAACATAACCATACATGCATCAAGCAAACATTGCAGTGCAATTTGGCAAGGGCAGACTGTATTACTGGCAACAGCCTGTAAATGAATAGTTTCACAAAACCATGCAAGGAATTCACCGAAAATTGTGTTAATGAACACAACGAATACTAATCTCAAAAGATTGTAAACAAACCTGAAATTGTGGGTAGTCTGGAGCACTAAACAAAGTTATGAGCTTCCCTGACTCCACAACGTGATCTATGGTGAACCCGTTATCCATTAGACCAAGACCTGGCCTCTTCTTCCGTGCATCAGGGCCTTCATGCGATCTAATAATCAACTGTGGTTTTAACAATTTCCAAATCTTAGTATTGCAAATACAGCACAAGGAAGTAAACGTAACAAGAGAGTAGAAGGAAATCATCTCATGCTTAGTGTGAGAGAAACGTAAGTGCAACGGCCTTTGTGCAGTTTAGAAACATTACAGCTGCTAGTCATCTTAAAGGAATTAAAGTTAGACATTTTCCTTCCTTTACTAGTAAAATTTTAACGGAAGACATAGTCGAACCCCACCCACCATCTACCTATTGAGCCAATGCCACAGTGGTTAAAAACTACCAAAGCAATAACAAACTCATAAGCACCTGCATGCTCATATTCAAGCCTTCATAACTAAGTTTTAACAGTCGCCATGTAACTAGGACATAAAAATATGCTGTTGTAAGAACCTATTTGTTGTCAACATTATATTAGGGTTGCAACTGATCATCTGGCAGATATTGTTTTCGACTAACCCACTTCGTATGAAAAATAAATGCGAAGTTAACCTGTGTTCAACCTTCCAAATTCTACTAACAAACACAAGCAAGTCACTATAAAACAGACAACAAAAGACATATTGTTAAAGATCATAGCATTGGCGTAATATCCCACAATATATAATTTCCCAACATGTAACCGTGCAACTATACTAACATTCAATTGCCTAATAACACGAAGTGCAGGTTCCATCTTATATTACCTTGAGCTGAAACTTCTTGAGAAATTCCTCAGTGCAGTCAGGACCCCAAAGCAAACCAGCACCTCTCAGTTGATTCAAAGAAAGACCGGGATCCATGGATGGATCTGACCATAGCACGTCACCAGGAATCAAGTTTGAACCTTCAGACGGAGGATCCAGAACCATTCTTTGAGCCTTGTTTAATTCTTCAAATATGCCAAGAGACAATGTTATGCTTAGTTCAGGATTGAAAGATATTTTCCTTTTCTTCTTTCCCTTTGATTTCTTGAGGTATGCCGTTGTGCTGCGAAACAGCCCACCATGAGCAGTGTATACATATTTCCCGATAATGGATGTCAAAGGGAGACACTTAAAGCACCCAAAACATTTTTGGTAAACATCATCCCCTTTGTCTCCATACTTTGCCAACAGTTCCTTCTCAAATCCATAAATGGAATTATAGTATTTGGATTCATGATTTCCTCTAAGAATATAAACGCTTTTGGGCAAAAATACCTTCCACACCAATAAAATCGCCATTGAAGACAAACAAACGATTTTCTGAAGGACATCTAGCATCCTTTAGAAGGAAAAGGAGATTGTGCAGCTGACCATGAATGCCTCCAATGACGTCAACAGTGGATTCTGGGCCTAACTGGTCGACAACAATGCAATTTGACTCTTTGTGGAGAATCTTAGAGGCTCAGATGATCAAGCTGTACAAAACCTCCAACTTATGGTTGCCGCCGCCACCTCCCGAAACTCCAATTGTCCGGCCCCCTGATGGAAAGCTTAGCCTTGAATGGGTCCATAACCTTATGTCCGTTTTCGATTGGGCGTCTAGAAATCTTGACCCAACCTAATTTCCAGACGTGTTTCCTGTGGAGGTTTTGTACAGCTTGATCATCTGCGCCTCCAAGATTCTCCACAAAGAGTCAAATTGCATGGTTGTCGACCAGTTAGGCCCAGAATCCACTGTTGCCGTCATTGGAGGCATTCATGGTTAGCTGCACGATCTCATTTTCCTTCTAAAGGATGTTGGATTCAGAAAATCGTTTATTTGTCTTCAATGGCGATTTTATTGGCGTGGAAGGTATTTTTGCCCAAGAGCGTTTATATTCTTAGAGGAAATCATGAATCCAAATACTGTACTTCCATTTATGGATTTGAGAAGGAACTGTTGGCAAAGTATGGAGAAAAGGGGAGGATGTTTACAAAAAATGTCTTGGGTGCTTTAAGTGTCTCCCTTTGACATCCATTATTGAAAAATATGTATATACGGCTCATGATGGGCTGTTTCGCAGCACAACGGCATACCTCAAGAAATCGAAGGGAAAGAAGAAAAGGAAAATGTCTTTCAATCCTGATGAACTAAGCATAACATTGTCTCTTGGCACATTTGAAGAATTAAACAAGGCTCAAAGAATGGTTCTTGAGCGAAAGCAAGTACCTTACCACTAAAGCTATAAAAAAAAAGGGACAAATCTCTCCTCTCTGACAGCCCCTCCCCTGTGTGGGTTTGATCTTTTCTTTACTCTCTCCATTAAAAAGGGTAGATCCTTGAACCACTTACCCACCAACCCGAGTTATTACCTTCCCTTTCTTCATTTTCCCCACCAACCTTCCAGGTCCCTTTTTCAGTGATCTTTATTCTATCCCATTTTTTCAATTTAACTTTTTCCACATAACCCTTACCTTTCGCTTAGCCTTCTCAAATTACCCTTTCACTGAATCGAGTTATTGCTCACCCACCAATCAGATTTGCTCACTGCTCACCAATCCCCCAGATCCCCTTTTCAATTACTAATTCCATCCCCCGATTTGAATTTATATCACCCCAACCACCTCCTGCTACATTATTATCGTGGATCTAGTTGCTACTCTGGTTTCTGTGATCTTTCTCCAAAGATTTAGCTCTGTTCTCCCCTTCTTCCAGTCAGCAAGGCCGGTTCAGAGATTTTTGAGGCCCGGGGCGACCTAAAAAAAAGTGCCCTAACTTTATGTAAGAAAATTATTTATTTTCACACATAAGATATCGAAAAAATTATACTTAGAAAAACACTTCAAACTCAATAATTTAGAAACACAGAAAGACTAATTTATTTTGTATTGAGAGAGGGAAACAAAAAAACTTCGGGCTTACAAGTAGATAGATGATGAGTTTTGTTTTCTATTTCTTTCAATGGTTTTTGAATAAATCGTGAGGTGTTTTTTTCTTATTTACTAACCTTGTCAATATGGGACTAAAAAATAATGATGTTTTCGAGTCTTTAATTGATATGTATTATTAATGAATGGGCACTAAATTAAACATTTTGATGACACGTCATATAATTTGCAAATTTGGTCTACGTATTATTCTTTGTTAAAGATTAGACTTGAATTAAAACGAATATTTAAAAATAACAACCCACATAGCTACTAGATAGTAACTAAAAATAAATTACCAACCAAACAAAAATTTGTAAAAATTGAAAAGAATAAACATGCACATAGCATTTCGAACTTAGGACCTCTTGTTAATTTTAAACAACAAAAATCATTGTTTCTAATTAAACTTCTTGATCCTTTAACCAAATTTTCTAAATTTATACTCTTATAAAAAGAAATTTGTAAAAAAAAGGAAAGTAAATAAGCACACATGGTGTTTTGAACCCAAGACCTCCTTATTATTTTCAAATGACAAACCACCACTTCTAGTTAAATTTATGTGTCTTTGAATCAAATTTTATAAATTTATACTCTTATAAAAATATATATAAATATACCGTCCTAATAATTTTGGTGCCCCTAATTTTTTTGGGCCCTGGACGGTCGCCCCTCCTGCACTGGGCCTGGGCCGGCCCTGCCAGTCAGGTTCATTCCTCGGAAGGATAAGAACCGGGTCAGGTGTCAGGCGTTGGGATGACGGGAAGCAAAGGGAGAGGGAAGACATTAATGAAGTAAAAAGGTATCAGAAAAATTAAGGAGGATGGTAGATCCAAAGTGCAGAAGTGGGTACATAATTAAAGTCAGAAACTCAAACCGTGGTGTCAAATGGAGACAGAAATTCCCTCGAATGATATTAGAGCACTTCCAACGTGGTGGAGGCCCTTAGGGCTACTCACTACGCTATTCACTAAGTAAACAGTAACTACCCTTAGGGAGTAATTATTGTCTTTTGCATCTTCACCTTAAAATATTGCAATCCAGAAAAAATCCTGCAAATTTCAATAAGATTTAAATTAAAAAATCTAAAAAAATCAACCCAGAATCGAAAAACCCACAAAGGTTTAACAAAGATTTAGAGAAAATAACCAAAAACCCACATACCTTTTTGGTCACAAATTCATCGAAACAGGTCGAATTACCGGGTTGAATCTCTACCAGAAAAATCAAAGAAGCAGTTAAAATCCAGAGCTTCGACGGAGCCCCAAACACCACCAAATCAAAGCTAGCCGACATAAAATCTCTCCACGCAGGCTCATCTTTCGCTCTCCTCCGTTCCTCAGAGAAAACCCAAATCCAAAATCTTTTGTAAAACTCTGTGAGAAAAGATAGAGAAAGAGCCAAAGCGAAAGAATGACGGCATCCTGATGCCACGTCAGCCCACGTTAGACTGCATTCGGGCGCTCGGGCCGGCACGAATCCACGGGCTTCTCCCCCGGGCCTGCTCGGGCTCGCTCACCAGCACATGCTAGGCTTCATCACTTGGGTATTCAAGCCCTGTTCCTCGGGCTGGAGCTCCCGCTGGAGTTGCTCTTAACTACAGTAATGAAGGCCACCTACTCTGCTTGTATCAAGTGGAGCATTAATGGATAGGTATGGCTCATCAATATGATACAAACCTTCATTATTATGGTTGTGCTCCTAGTCTATTGTCAACTTGAATTAAAAAGTTGTGAAGAGAGAAAGTGGGCAGAGGAAAAACAGAGAGAGGTTCGGGATAGAGGTCAACCGGTCATTAGTCTGAACATCTCGAATCATACAGCTTGGGAAGTCGAACAAATCTGGGGTCAAATGGCAGCAGCGGATGTAGAGGAACTAGTGGTCCATCTGGAAAGAAACATGGATTTATCAATTATGGAGCAAGGAGTCAAACTGGTGGGTTCGGTTTTGGTTAACAAAACCTTAAACAAATGGGGCGTAAGGAATATCCTGAGATCGTCATGGAAAGAGTGGGGGGAAATTGAAGGAAAATGGGTTAAAGACAATACCTTCATTATCACTGTCCAGGATGAAAGCACTACAACTCAGATTCTAAACCAAGTCCCGTGGGCTATCATGAAGCAGAACTTCTTAGTAAAAAGATGGGATAAAGAGTTAGTTTTGGAGGAAATCAATATGAATATAGTCCCATTTTGGATACAAATTAAGGGTGTTTCGCCTTATATCAATTCTAAAGAAAATGTGAAACGCCTAGCTGTGAAGATAGGGGAGTTTGCAGACTTTAAGGACCCTGCTAAAGCGCGAGGTTTTTTAAGAGTTAAGGTGGCGGTCAATACCTTGAACCTTCTGACCACAGGTTGTTGGCTCCCGAGGGAAAATGACAATGAGACATGGATTGAGTTTCGGTTCGAAAGATTACAACACTTTTGTTACAAATGCGGAAAAATCGAACATCCAAATACGAAGTGTTCGTTCGAAGCTGTCAAGGGGGTATGGCAGGGTATGGAGAATGGACTAAAGCTGCTCATGTATGGGATTTTATTGATATCCCAAGACCTCTGGCTATTACTGTGGGAGAACGAAGACATGCTGAAGTAACAAAAGTCGGCTCTAGGAAGGTGACTCAAAGAGCTAGAGAGGAAAACACTAGGGAAACAAGTACAAAGAATGCCCTGAATGATAGGGACCTCAATCCATCATCTTTGCTACAGGGTAAAGGGCAATGGCTCAAAGAGATGGCATAGAGTCAAACGAAGGGAAGAATGACAGAACTTTAAACCGGCACAGTGGATAATGGAATGATGTGGGCCTGTGGGACAACAACGATTTGTGATGGGCTTTGAACTGGTGGAGATAAGAAGTGAATATATAAGAAACTCGACTGTCATGATTGAAAAGATTCAAGAAGAGGATTTAATCCTGCATGCAGGAAAGGTAGCGGGACAACATGTCCATGTTCCATAGATAGAAGGGGTTGAAAGTCACAATAAACGGGAGTTAGAAAAAAAAAGATACTGAGGTGGGTCTCTCATCAAAGAAGAAAACTAGAATAGAGAATGACTCTAGAAAGGTTAAGGAAATGAAGGAAATGGCCGCGAAACGCCTGAGGAATATGGCCACGAAGGAAATGTGTCTGAAGATGGAAATGGCGATCTATACGGAGGAGGAGTTGCAAGATATCCCGATAAAGTATCAGGATATGCGGGATTACATGGAGGAGATCTATGTGAAGAAGAAAGAAGCACTGATGGCTAAGAACTTGGGATTCTTTTCCCGGGATGGTGGCGGCTGGCCTTCAACAGTCGCACGATCGCCATGATACACTTATTCTGGAACTGCCGTGGTCTAGGGTCGGACACGGTAGTTCGAGCCCTTCATGGGCTGATAAGGAAACATAGACCTCTATGATATTTCTATCAGAAACAAAAATGCAAGATAATAGAATAATAGGTGTGAGACAAAGAATGGGGTATCGTAATGGGTTTGATGTTGCACCTGTTGGAAAGGCAGGAGGTCTTAGTCTCTGGTGGGATGAGTCGGTACATGTGATTGTGAAGGATTTCTCAAAACATCTCATTGATGCTCTGTGCAGCCTGGTGGACTCTCATATCGTGTTCAGGTTCACCGGCGTGTACGGTACCTCCTATCGTGCTGAGAATGTAGATTTTTGGTGGTGATTTCAATGAATTATTGTGGGACCATAAGAAATCGGGTGGAGCCGAAGTGAGATATAACTGGACTAGATATTTGGAGGGATTTATGAGCAAGCTAGAGATTTCGGATTTGGGCTTTAATGGCCCAAACTTCACTTGGTGTGGGAAGGGAAATAGGCAGCTAGTGGAGGCTCGGTTAGATAGAGGGCTTGTGAATGAAAGTTGGTAGGCTCTATAGTCTAACTTTATGGTCACTAATGGAACGTCACTAGGTTCA